ATATTTGCCACATTTATAATAAATATAATGAAAATGAAATATATTTCTACACAGATAAATACACAAAAAATTTGTTATTTGCAATTGTTATTTCTATGAAATCCAAATGTTCAAAAATGCAAGTTTTAGAAAAATTTTTTTTTTTCCTTTTTATGCATGTAAATTGAAGCTCTATAAAAGTAAAAACATTTGTAAGAATTATATAAAAGTTGTCAAAAATATTTACAAACATTAAAAAAATTTTCTTTAATAATTTACCGAATCACCCCTAAAAAGGTAGGTAAACTTTTTTTTCCTTCCAGCCACCTGTGCTTGCAATAGTGCGGTAAGTGCAAAATGTTACAGAAGCTATGCAATCACAGTTGCCCGACTTGCCTATAGTATACATAAGACGGTTCGACAAGAACGCCAGCGCTTAATGCCTGCTAACCCTACAAGCATCGAAAATCTGGAAGATTTGCCTGATACATATACGAAAACTTTGGTCGGTGAAAATTTTTTAATTTATGACTCACATAGTGATGAAGAGTACAATTTGACCTGTAATCAGATTAACCAGAATTCAGTTAAGGGAATAATTACATATTTCTCGTTGAAATAACTACACTGAGAGAAGTTTAACGCAACATCTGCATCTTTTGAGGGACAGATATTGTACCACAATTATGTGCAGACGCAGTACTAAAATCGAACAGCAGCAGCGCCAATTAAGTACTGATTCTGACCTAACTTGTGGGACAAACGATTTAGTACAGTATCTGTCCACCAAAAAGCGCAGCTACGATACAATTTAGAACCGATGTTGCTCGAAAGGTTAGGTACACTATCTGAACGTGTGTTTAGTACGAAATCTGTGTTTAACTTCTCTCAGTGTAGAATTATGTTTTTATTCCCTCATTAAAATTCTTGTTAACGTAACTAAATAATAACCAGAATCATAAGGTTAAATATACCTAAAACAGAATTCTAGTTAGACTAACCAGAATATTGGTTGGTTTAACTAAAATTTTTGTTGAAATTTCCAAAGTTATGATTTTATTCCCTAAACAGACATCTGGTTAAAGTAATAAGATTTATAGTTTTACCAGAATTATAATTTTAAATATACTGTAACCAGAATTCTAGTTGGAATTACCATCAGTGTTCTGTTTAAAATAACCAGAATTATGCGTTAATATTCCCTTAACAGAATTCTGGTTAATGTAATGAAATAATAATCAGAATTATAATGTTAAATATGCCGTAACCAGAATTCTAGTTGAATTAGTTGGTTATTTTAATTAGAATTCTGATTACGGTATATTAATCATTATAATGCTGGTTATTATTTAGTTACATTAACCAGAATTCTGTTAAGGGAATAAAACATAATTCTGGTTATTTCAACCAGAATTCTAAATACTTTAACCAGAATTTTTTTTAGGATATAACAACATGATTCTGGTTTTTTCAACCATAATTTTAGTAAATTTAACAAGAATTTTAGGTACGTAATATTTAACATTATGATTCTATTTATTCCAACCATAATTCTAGGTACTCCAAGTAGAATTTTGGATAGGGTATATTTTCTATTATGATTATAGATAAATTAATCTGAATTTTGGTTGTTTCAACTATAATTCTAGTTAATTTAACTAGAATTTTTGTTAGCTAAAATAGAATGTAATGTTAAATACACCCTAACCAGAATTTTTTCCATTATTTAGTTCTATATGTATATTTAAATTACTAATTGAATTTACATTTATCGAAGTGAGAAAGAAATTTGTTATTTAAAATTTCATTTTAATAAAAACAGAAGTTTTATTTAACCAAGTCGCAAAAGTAAATCGATAGTAGTGATGTATTGCATTTCTGTAAAAATTATCTCATTCTCCTTCCGTGGGAAATATTGGGAAACACGTTGAACGTTGCGGCAGATAACCATATTAAGGTTAACTTTAACCTGGGGGTTTTCATTTTGGGTCGCATGTATATAACGCGAGCGCCATCATATATACCTTAAATGAGCGCGACTAAAACTTTATAAGAGAGCTGAAAATATCCATACCGCTACTGGTATAACGTGCATCAAAGCAATTAAATATTTAAACGAACCGTAAATGTGAATCTCAATTTCGATTCTTGAAATAAACCGCAACTCACTCACAATTCTCACCACTGAGGACATTAATTTTTTCTCAGTAATTTTTTTTTTCTCTCCTATTTCAGGATATATCTGTCACATATACGTCAGATATTTCAGAGTCTATTAATATTCTTATATTCACGGTATTATTTAAAGACTATTGTAATTAAACATTAAAAATAAAAGAGTTATTATATAAATATTTAATATTTGCAAATATATAATAAAATTTTTTAAATAATTCAATTTAAGGACGTTTACACAGAAAAAAGTTGGACTCATATTTGTTGCATCTCAAAATAAGTTCATGTTAAATGACATAGAACGTGGTGCCATCTGTCTGTCTTATTTTTAATGTTGTTTGCAACAAAATCGTTTGGTTAAACAATTTTTGTTTTTGTAACGAAATTTTGGTTGACTGAAATAATGTCGTAGAGTTATCTCAACCAAACATTTGGTTAAGAAAAAAAATTATTTGGTTGAACATTTTTAAATTCCACCCACTGAGAAAAATGTTTTGCCAAAGCAACCAAAATTTAGTTAGGCCAACAAAAGAATTTTATTATTATTTAAGCAACTAAACTCTTTGTTTGAGTCAACCAAAAAAATTTGGTTCAGTGTTTTTTGTTGGCATAACAAAAATGTTTGGTTAGCTCAACAAAATTTTTTTGTTAGGTCAACAAAAATGTTTGGTTAATCAAACCAATAGTTTTTTTGTAATATTAAAAAATTTTATTCTATCATATTTTTTTTATTTATTTTATTATGACAGCAAATTAAATTATTTGGTTTTAGTAACCAAATCATGGTCAGGACAACAAATGGTCATTTATTGGTTTATTCGACTAAACTATTTTGTTGTGTTAACCAAATTATTTTGCTGTCGTAACCAAATTTTGGTTGGAATTTTAAAATGTTTAACCAAATAATTTTGTTGGCTTAACCAAATGTTAGGTTGAGATAATTTTACGACTTTATTTTAGCCAACCAAAAATTTGATTACAAGAACCAAAATTGCCTAACCAAACGATTTTGTTGCAAAAAAAAATGAAAAACTTTTCAGAAAGTACAATTAATAATATTATTTTAATCATTTAAATGTTAATTAATTATTTTTTTTCTAGATTTCTTCATTCTCGTGGATAAACGTGGATTTTTTCGATTGGGATACAAACGATCCAAACCAAAAGGTTCAAGACGGAATGTCCAATCCAAAAGGTCCAAAATTTTAAAGATCCAAAAGCCCAATAGTACAAAAAGTCCAAAAGTACAAATTACCCAAAATATATAATTTTATTGAAATGCATGTTTGATAAAGGTGTAAATTGTTTATAAATGTAAATGATGCCTAAGTGCTTTTATCTATTCTAGTTCTCGATTGTCGTCGAAATATTGTTAATATTGTGCCACAATAGTAAAAACTCTTTCCTCAATACTTTGAAAATTAGATGTAGGTAGTGATCGTATTTTTTGTCCCAGATTTAGCTGGTTAACCATGCATTCTGTATCGCCTTGTTCTTGCTGCAATTCATTTAAAAAAGCATAGAGGCTGGGATGGTATCGTCGACCAACAACAACTTGAAACCGATTATGCCAGCCCTCTGAAGCATTTTATTAGTTCTGGCAATTCTTTGAATGACAGCTTGATGCTGATTCCACAGAATAGGGGCATATCGAACTGACACTGATTTTCTTCTTCCTCTCGCAGCTTTTCCACGAATATACGTAACCTCAAGAAAATCATGTGTGGAATAGTATATATTTTAATAGTATATTAAATTTAAATATTTTATTAATTTCAGATTTAATTTTTAACCTCGAAGTATTCTGCTACTAGTACAAACTCCTCTGGCACATCATCCAAAAACAAATCAAAAATAGCAGGCACATCTTCCGGTGGTACGAATGCTAGAGCGCACATGCTTCGTGTTGCTTCTCGAATACTTGGATCATTTTTATTATTGTACATTTCCTGTAACCCCTCAGATTGAATTCTACGATAAACACTTTGGCACAGGTGAAATAAGCATAAATGGACAACATTGCCAATATTAGATTGTGCTGCTAAGACAGAAGGTGGTAAATCTTGGAATACTCTTAAGATTCTCGCAGGGGGACATTTAGGATGTTCAACGGCAGCCCTTTTTAAATTTGCTCTCTGTCTGAGAGCTTCTACTTCTTCTAAATCGGGCGCGTGATCATGCGAATTGGCATCTCCAACAGACAAAAGCTCCAATTTATGTCCAACATTAATTGTAGTTGCTCTCATTCTGCACTCAAGTTTCCTTCTGCATCGCCAATAAATTTTCCCTTTAACACCATTCTAATGCTTCGTATATATAAATCCATCGACGTGTAGAAATCGAACTTTCCCTACCAGTATGACATTAGCTTCTAAATCTTGACTCGCACTAGCCATTTTATATAAATCTTAACTAAAAATTTTGAATATTTAACATTTACAAAGGAGAAAACTAAAAACTAACAATTTTATGAAATGTAGGTTATTCCTGAAACAACTTCATACCAAAGTAATGACAACTAACGAAAACCTCTAGAAATAAATTTAAACATATTTTAGTCAATAACCACCCTTTTGTACATTTATTATTCTATAAAAAGTTTAATTATATAAATAGAATTACTTTCTTAAACTTTTAAATTATACGTGTACAAAATAATAATAGTATAAACTTAGTTGAGTGGGGAGGTTGATCCATGAATTATTTATTACTACTACATGAAAAAAATAAGTTTTGATAAAAAATCAAGTTGGTTATAGGATGTATGTAAACTTAGGGTAACAACTTTTAATAATAAGGAGTATCATATAAATAAAATAAAAAGTAAATAATAATCTGTTACTTACAAAATGGCCGATTTGTACACCAGTATGGTTGAACTAGAACTGCACCTAAAACGAATTATAAATTCAAAATTAATTAATTGTATTAATTATTATTAATTAATTATATTAAATTATAAGTGCAAACAAATACAAGTAGCAGTTTAGGGCCTCAAATAAAAGCCACACGGATTACAATAAAGGAAAGGAACACTCCATTGTTTTATAACACTATCTCTAGTTAAAATTCCGGATTAGAATAATCTGACTTATGAACCAAATTATTTCAGACTAATTTCGAATTAGTCCGAAACAATCTGGTTCACAGTCAGGATATTGTCATCCGGAATTAGTCCGATTGAGACTGAAATTAGTTTAGTTTATGTAACTAGTAAATTAGTTCGATTGACTCCAAAGTAAGTCCGATGATACACAATTAATGAATGCAGATTTTGGATTACTAATTCCACAGACAGGATTAATTTAAAATTTAACTAATTTTGGATTGGACTATTAATTCCGAATACACTAGTTATACCGAACTAATTCTGGATGACAAAAGCCTGACCAGAAATCGGAATGTTTGGAAACGATTGATTCCGGAAAGGAGTCCTAAGTAATCCAGAATTTGTATGCAAGAAATAAGCATTCATTGCACAACAATCAAGTGCGAACTTGATAGTGTATTTTTGTGCATCCAATTCCAAGAATTTTCCACTCCTACAGTCCCAAAAAACATTGTACTTGATTTTATAAACATTATGATTCTGGTTAGATTAATTTTTGTTATATCAACCAGAATTCTAGTTACATTGATCAAAATTCTGATTAATTTAACTAGAATTCTAGTCACGATATATTTAGCATTATAATTTTAGTTAGATTAACCAGAATTTTAGTTAGATTAACCAGAATTTTAGTTATTGCAACCGAAATTTTAGATAATTTTAATGACAATTCAGACTATTTCGGATTAAGTATTTTAAGACAATTTAAGCAAAGTAAATCCGCTACTGTTGCATACAGTTTACGGATTGTTTATCTAAAAATTTCTGCTTATTCCACATAAAGTATTATGATCAAATTGAATGCAAAATATTTGCAAACTAATTGTATCGTAGTTTCATGTAAATTTAAACTATTTCGAATTTGTCTTTTTGCGGATTCTCAAAAATACTTTGGACTTAATTTGAATTAAGTTTTTTAAGCAAACCAAATCCGCTACTGTTGAGTACTTGCGGATTGTTTACATTTCTGATTATTTAAAATTCATAGTTTGGATTTAAGTATTTTGATCAAATTAAACGCAGATTACTGCCGACTAATTGCAGAGCGATTTTTATGTAAGTTCCAAACTATTGCAAATTTTTCTTTTTGCAAATCAATTTTGGACTGTTTTCGTATTTTCGGACTAATCTAAGACATTTACACATGTGTACATAAAAATTCCTCTTCTTTTAATTTTACATCTTTCTTCCTTATTGTGTTACTTCACTGTCCCTTTCTCTCTCTCTCTCTCTCTCTCTCTCTCTCTCTCTCTCTCTCTTTGCTTCTCTTTTGCGTTTGCTCCGCGCAGCCACCCAGGAAAAACTCATGTTATTAAGCCGCGGCAAGAGTCCTTCTTCCTTCGTCCTTTCCCTCTTTCCATCGCTCCCTCGCGGTCGAACGAGCTCAAGCTAGATTAGTTCATTACCCAGCACGGCGTGTCTTCTGTTTTTGCACTCCGTGGAAATAGATTTGTTGCAAGATCGACGCTGCGTTCTTGCGTATATACAGGTTGTATCCTGTGGGTAAGAGTAGCTAAAAGAAAAGAAGAAAAAAAAACCCGTTGACTCTCGACGAAATGCCTCAAATCTCGTTCGCACTGGGTGGCCTTATTCAGTGTGTAGTGGCTCTTTGCCCTTTATTAGTGACATGATTCTGTATAACAACATCTCCACCTGACGAGGGTCACCATGAACTTCTGAATTATGTTTCTCATCCCATATATGTGGAAATTGTAAAGTGAATATATCCTCGAGGCAAGTATAGAGGAAAAACTCTTGTTTTTCATTTATTCACGATTTTTTTTTTTTTGCAATCAGAATATACGATTTGACTGACAAATATGGACATATTTATTAATATGTATTTTAAATTTTCAAACTTGGATTTTAACCACGAAATTAGAAAAAAAAATTCTTAAAGTATATTTGCAAATATTTTTTGCTCTCGCTCTTTCGAATGACGTGATTTAATATTTGTTGGAAATGTATCAATAAAAAATGTATATGTACCTACCAATAAAATGACCTATTTTTTCTATAAAAAATTATTGTTTTTTAACCCTAAAATTTTTTCAGTAATCTTTTAATAAAAAGTCAATTATACATAAAGACCGTATAATTAAAGCAAATGGGTGGGTATCCTTTAAGAAATTTTTTTTTAATGTACAAAAATAATTACAAATAAAAAATTCATTAGGGAAAAAACAAAGAAATTCTTTTTTTTTTCATCAAATGTCAAAAGTCTTGATTTTATAATGATTTTTTTTTCTATTCCCAACTGTAAAGTTTTGTTTATCTAAGAAGGGGAATAATAACAGTTACGAAGGGTGAGAACGATAGGATACTACACGAAACTACTGCATAATATAACACCTACTTCTTTGAAAATAACATATATATGCACTGGGAAAAAAAATACTCTTGAATCAAATAGTTCAATGCTATTGAATTTCCCGTTATTTATTCAATAACAATTTTATTGATTGAAAAGTATATTACATAAAATGAAAAAACGAAACTATTTAAATCAAAAGTATGGTAATGTAAAATTCATAAAAAATTTTTTTTTTTTTTTTGATTAAGTTAAAAATTTTAAAAACCCATATGATATGTTTAGAATTATAAAAAAATTTATTTTACTATTTTATAATTTTTCGTATTTTTTCGAAACATAAAACTTAAAAATATTTAATTATCAATTAAATTATATTAATATTAATAATAATATTCTTTTATTTACTTAATATGAAAAAATCTTGAGGACGAAATTTGACTGTAAAGTAATCGTTGAACGCTATGAAGCTACTGTTTCACGTTGGCCTTCGGTGGTTCTAGTCAATCACGAAAGTTAAGCAACGTTGATCGCAGGTAGTACTTTGATGGGTGACCACTAAGGAATACCAAGTTTTTCAGGCTTCAAAAAATATATATATATATGTGTGTGTGAGTGTGTGTGTGTATGGAAGGGTAAATTCTTTCGACTTAAATATATATATAGGTGTGGTGTGTATGTGAGAGTGCGAAATAAAAAAAAAATAAATATATACAAGTAGATTTTTCGGACCCCCCATCCCACTTCTTACGTAAGTTTTTAACATTATTAATGTAATTAAAAAATTAATTACAACAATACAAATGGAAAATACTTGGCAAAATCTTACGTAAGATTAGCTTCTACCCCCCACCCCCCCACGTAAGACCATGTAGAGATTTTATAAACCCCCCCTCCCCCTAAGGACCCTTACGTAATTAATAAATGGCCCATAAAAGTATTTTCTTTCTATTATTATTCCTATTTTTACAATTAATATGTAACACTGAATATTGTACTAAAATAAAACTTTTATTTTCCCAATCCCCTTCCCTATAATAAAATATTAAATTTACAACAAAAAATTCTTAAAACCCTTTAAAAACGAGTATCCCATATAATGCGCATTAATTTATATAATATTATAGGCTATAATAAGAACAATTTATCGGTGTATATCTATATAAATCTTGACCAAGTAATAAATTCAAATATATATATAAATAAAAATTATTATTTTTATTATTATCATTTTTAATATGAATTACAATTTAATAACAGATGCATGTAACTGACAATCTATTTCCAAATCATTTAATTATTAAAAGGAAATGCGCAGAATTCAGTAATTGAGAAATACTTTAGTTAAAGCTTCAAGAACATCTGTACTTTATTGTAAATAAGAATAAAATAAAAGGTTTTAAATTTAATACAACTTATGCTAGTGACCGTTACGATAAAAATTGGACTTTCTAACAAGTTCTGTATTACCAAAAATTTATCAGATGAGCTGGAGAACATTTATGACGTAGATTATCCCTTATTTTCTCTCACGCCATTGTAATAAGTAATGCTTACCCTAGGATTGCATCCAAATTTTGATAATAAAACTTAGAAGATTGGTTTTTGTTATAACTGGACTGCACTGTTCCACTAATAACAGACATGGGTTTTCATCCGAATTCAGATCAGAAGAAAAACCGAAGCCTCTACATTGTAGATTTTGGTACCAGCTCGTCATGTTCATATACGAATTTTGTAAAAGTACTATTACTCTGTCCAATTTTATACTCAAATTGAACTTTGAAGAATTTCTGTATCAAAGTGTTAGAAAAGTTTCTCCATTTATCAAGTAATCATTTAAGTACACAAGAATTTTATTTACTAAAATATTTGTGAAACCTCTTTTCTTTCTTATCTGGAAGAATTATATATGTTTGAGTTTCGTCACGGTCAATTGGACCTTTGGTCCAAGGCCCATCGACCTTTTTGTGATCTCATAAACGACATCTGGTACATACCAGTCATTCCTGCGCATATTTAAGGACACAGCAGTGGTCCTTTTTTATACATTTCACTTCTAAATTTTTAAGGTAATTCGTCAATACTTTTTATCTAAATCCTTTCTAACTCTTTGTAAAAATTTTTAGTAACCTTTACATTCCTTGTTGCAGTACTCTATAATCTGAATTAGCGACTATTCGCTTTGAATTAGTGACTATTCGCTTATTCCTAGCGCAGACTATGAAGCTGGGAATAAGTGAATAATCACTCATTGAAAATTCGCTAATTACTAGCGAATAGTTGTTAATTGCTAGCGAATAGTCGCTATTTTGATCAGTCCAGAGTATGCAGTTACGAATAAGCGAATAGTCGCTAATTCAAATGTAGAGAGTAGAATGCTGACTTCCTTTATTTTCAAGACTGGTTGCTTCAGGATAATCTCTCTCAAAGATCAATTTTAGAACTCTACATTTTTGTCTACATAAACT